ATTAAAACAAAGGTCAAATGTAGAGTAATTCACCGCAGGATGGCTTGAGTGCTTCTCATCACAACCATGCTCATGGACAAATATTAGATAGGATGTCTCCTGTGTTGTAACCTTAAACAGAGTGTCTCTGAGACAGATTTGCTTAACGGAGTGCCAAGTTACATTGACATGCCTGCACTTCACAGGAATCTGTTTGATTTAATTGGGAGGGTGACATGAATGCTGGAAGTACCCCCCAATTAATAGACCAAGGATCTCACTGCCTGTGGAAAGTTGTTTGCAGGAAAGGTTACTGAATTGGTCATTGTTTCAGTCTGTGCACAGAGTGCTCGCCTGTCCCATTCCTTCAGAGAGGCCACTCTCTGCTCAACGCATGTGCTTCATGGAAACACTTGGTTGTTTATGAGTGAGGATCCCGGGAAACCCCCTGTGCTTTGGGAACTTCACATTTTTTCAGCATTCCATTGGTGAACAATGGCATCTCATATCTGTGAAATACTTTTGAGTTTTTCAGTCCGGCCTGTTCATTATTCTCAAACATACGTTGAGTTAGATTTATTAAACCAGGAGGCTCAACAGAGAGATACACAAGATCAATTTTACTGTGGTCAAGACATATTTTTTCTCCAAGTTTTTGAATCACTCGAGATTTCCTGCAATAGGCCATGAAGCATGGGTGTGCTGTGCTTTATCTTGGTGCTGTGTTTTTCTTATCTTGCGTATTTTTCAGGTTACTCAGCTGTTGAATGCCGAATGATTGGTCCTGGGAGGCGAGACGTCATTGTGGCAAGCCAGGGGTTTTGAGAGCTGCGATTCACAGCAAAATAGGACACAAGGTGCCAAAGGCCAGTTAAAATAAAGTGGTTTTTTTTAAATAAAGTGCTGGCGGAAAGGGGCCTGGAAGGACCAAAACTCAATGAACCTCATGTCAGGGGCTTTGGACAGGGAGGCTGGAGGTCAACTAAAATGAGTCCTGATGAACTGCTCTTTGCTGTTTCTTCCCATGTGGCATCACCAGCAGTATAAGTAGTGTTCCTCTCCTAATCAGCTGATGAGCTGTCAGTGAAACCAATTCCAGGTGCCTAGTGGCTGCAGCACCTGTACAGGGTAGAAGATTCCCTCTACCACTTCCCCCAGCCTGAGCTTGGGAATCCCTCTCCTTGGCTGTGATGGCTCAGCTGTCTCCCCGGGTTTGCCACACTGTGCAGTGCCAATACTGTTACGGTTCAGCCCAGGAATCAAGTGTGGAGACAGAGTACAATCTAAACAAGTAGTTTATTGACAGCTTATATGGCAATTAGTGGATGGAACTCCGGAATAAGATCGCACAGTTCAATATAGATGTTGTGAATGAAGCTGAGCAGTCAATTGCTAGCCAGTGGCTTCCAGGATAGCAGCCAGGTGGAGTGCATGCTTTGCCAGCACTGTGCCGTTCCACAGGAGGATTGAGTACCTAGAGGGGGACTCGGTTCCAAGTCTGATGATCGTAGAAGGATTGGGAGCTTGTTCCTATCAAGCTGGACGGAGGAACATACTTGGGAAGGTTAACAAGAATGCAGCTTCAATCCTGGACCCTGATTAGGCTTAGGAGCTGTTCCCTATTAAACTGGACTGACAAACTGACTTGAGCCAGGTAAACTTGAACGCAACTCAATCCTGGACCCTGATTAGCCTGGGAAGCTTGCAAGAGTTAATTAAGTTAAGAGGAAGGTATTTGGGAACAGCTGTCATAAATACACACATAAAGTGCTAGACAAAGATGTAGAGTTTCTTACTAATAATACTGACTGGTTTTCAAGCACAAAGGTCAATTACAATCCAGCAACTTGCATCACACTGCAGAGGGCTTAATTACCCATGACATGGAGATTAGAGAATAACCATGTAACGAGACGCAGTTGAGGGCGGGCAGACACACAAGACGCAAACCATTCAAAGGATGCATTTCTAATGGACATGCAAGTTTCTGAACAGGAAGAGACATCAAAGGCATTCACTCGAGAGTTGTGACAAATACGACAGAATTCTTTTTTATGGCACTGCCGGGTTAGCTCAATCGGTTAAGGTGCTGCATTTGCGGAGCAGTAGTGACCACCACGGTGCCGGTTTGAGCCCCAGTTGTTCCTAAGGATATTGCTGATGCTTTGAATAGTTCATTTAATGAAAATTTTACCATGAATCAGATTTCTGGTTGGCCAGAGGGTATTTCCAACGCTCAAATTTATTTAGTAGAAATTCAGATTGGGGAAAAAGAAGTATTTATCAAATTCCATAAATTAAAGACAAATAAGCTGGCTGGCTCTGATGGCTTACCTGAGAGTTTTCAGGGAAGTAGGTAAGATCATCTCTAAACCACTGACAGTTATTTTAGGCAGTCTTTAGATACTGGAGAAATACCAAGTGATTGGAAGCATGAGAGATTACCTCTTAAACCCGAATGCCCCCGGCACCAGGGGCAATCATTACGCATCATAAATACAGCATGTTGCCTAATAGCACCATCATCATATGGCAGGTCCACTTAAAGGGAAGAAACTCGGCAAAAAGCTCATGATGACCATTTTTTCCTCAACTGAACACAATTCAAGCACCAAGCAAGTAAATAAGCATATAGCAAAATATAGGATAAAATAATATCAGGGCTCGATCACTAGCGTTTCTACTGAATTTGTGCTATGCATACAAATGATACTTCAAATGAAAGAGGAAAGTCTACAGAATCCAATGATATAAGCCTTGTCATTTTAAACTGAGACCACACTCTAAGAACAGCAGCCATACACTTTACAGTTGACAGTCATGAGCAAATATGTTTTCTTACCTTTGATATTTAGTAATTAAAAAAAACTGTGTTTGAGGGAAAATCTGCACTGGTTACTGTTAGCCTAATGTGTACATGTTATGTTGAACCTAGATCTTCCAATCTCCATGCATGTTTTGTTTTGTTTTTTTTTTCAGGGCACTGCTTCCAATGAAATCAGTCCCTGAGCTTTCTGCTTGCATGCAATGTATTTTCTCCGCTGTGATCTGCTTGTGATGCTGTCAGTTTGACTTTGCAGGCAGCCATTTGGTCTTATGGGTTCTGACATTTCCAATGAGCCCTTAACTACCATAATTGCACAAACGTAGCCTGAGATACAGCCTTGCATTCCCACTGCCTCTATCTGAGAGTCCACGCATCATCACGCACACGTAGTCTCAATAGTATAATCATTTAAATGGTTTGTTTTGAGTATTTTTGCTATAATTAACCACTAAATATTCAACAGTCATTTTCAAATTCGTTTTCTGACTGAGAATCCTTGCGCCATTATGCAGAAGCACTGAGAGGGCACAACTATAACTGGCAGAAAAGATAGTGTAGTGGCTAAGGCGGAGTGCCAGGATGTGAGTAACATGGGTTCAAATCTCAGTTACAGTTGTGACCTTATAGAGCAATGGAAGCATAGTTTTTGTATGAATAATTGCTGGGGTTTTTGTTTTAACTTTTTACCATTTTTTACTTTATCTTTGCATTTATAATTTTGTTTATTCGCTTGTTTCATTGAAAAAAAAATGTTGCAGTTGATATTTCCTTTGAATGCATTTTCTTTGAATGGGAAAATGTATACAGGGCTGGCTGAAATATGAATAAATAATTTAAAAAAAATAAAAAATAATCATTAAAAAAATTTAAAAGGGTTTTATTTAGATGGCATGTATGCCTGCAGTGACATTTAAGTGAAATTATATGAGTTTTACAGTTTGGTACCTGCTTGGCGCACAGTGACCAAAAAGGTACCCGAATTGCCAATTTGGACGCAACCTAGACATTCCGGAACTAAAACCTGTCTAATTTTGCTCTGATTCACTTGATTAGTATAAATTTTGGGACAGATAATGGTGAGATTCTGTGCTGTAATTTGTTTTAGAGGTTTCAGATTGCTGCTAAATAATTTAAAAAGGGATAAAAGTAAAATTTTGTTTGGCGGAAAATAGATCTTTCATTTATGCTGTTTTCCATCTTCATTTACATTGACTCAGTGACATATACACTGATTTTGACACTAAGACAAAAATCCCCAAGGTGTTACGTTCATTATGATACCAAGATTATTCAAATCGACTAAGTATTTACAGAGATATACTCATTTCATTTTGGGCATGTCATTTTTGAGCCAGAGGCTAAGGGCTTAAGAGATTGAAATATGGAACATAGGAATTATAGGAGGTATTTTGGAATGGATTCAGAACTGGTCACGAGACAGAACACAAAGAGTTGTCATCAAATGGATCTCATCCGAGTGAGGCATTGTGGGAAGTGTTGGGACTGCTGCTCTTCCTCATCTACATAAATGACCTTGACAGGAACATTGAAAGCAAATTAGTTCAGTTTGTGGAGGATACTAAATTGGGAGGTTTGGCAAGCAGTTTAGAGTCTACTAAAGTGATTCAGGATGATTTAGATGGAATTCAGAATTGGGCGGAAACATAGCAAATGAAAATCAACATAGCTAAATGTAAAGTTCTACACATTGGAAATAAAAACATTAGACAGGATTACTTAATAGGTTGAAAACCGGAATATGCTCTACTTGAAAAAGATCTGGGAGTTACTCCTGACCAAACCCTTACAGGTTCTTGCCACTGTGCTGTAGCAGTTAAAAAGCCCAGCAGGATGCTGGGATATATAGCTAAAAGTATTTAGCATAAATCTAAGGAGGTTATACCTCTCTTGTAGAAAACATTCATCAGACCAAACTTAAGATAGAGAGATAAGATACACTTCATTGAACCCTGTGGGGTAATTTGTCCTCTGCATTTAACCTATCTTAAAGTTAGGAGCAGTTGGCAGCTATAGAGCAGCGCCTGGGGACCAACTCCAGTTCTAAAGCCAGTTCCTTGGTCAGGGGCACCGGTAGGAGAGTTCCTATGATGCATGTTTTTGTGGGTGGGGAAACCGGAGCATCCGGAGGAAACCCATGCGAACACAGGGAGAACATGCAAACTACGCACAGAAAGGCCCCAGGCCGGATTTGAACCCATAACCTTGCTGTTAGGCGACAGTGCTAACCACTGCACCACCATGCCGCCAGTGTATTGGAGTATTAGACACTTGGAGTATTGTGTGCAGTTCTGGGGACCACGCTCAAAGAAAGACATAAAGGCTTTAGGAGTTCAAAAAAGAGTCACAAAGTTATTCAATCATCAATTATTCAGAGTAGTAAAGCAGATCTTTTAATCCTTAACATTGCTTTTGAGTCAGAAAATGCATAGAAGTCCGTATGTCCAAATTAGCCGAGGAGATAAAGACAAGTTGCCCAAAATAGGACATGTTGATCTAAATCCTTAATGTAAAAGTTTAATGAAATCTCTGGAGAAATGTATGGAACATATTTTTCTTTCCATCCATCCATCATCCATCGTTATTTCAGCTGCTTATCTAGTGCTAGGTCGTGTTGGTAGCAGACTCAACAAAGTAATCCAGGCATCACCTCCTCAGCTACTTCCCTCAACTGTCCCTTGGGTACCACAAGCCGTTCCTAGGCTAGCCAGGAGTTACAATGGTGTGTCCAAGGTCAGCCTGCCCCTAGTTGGTCATGCCCGGAAAATCTCTAAAGGGAGGCGTACAGGAGGCATCCGGATTGTATGCCCGAGGCACCTCAACTGACGCCTCTCAACAAGGAGGAGCAGCAACTCTGAGCCCCTTCCAGATGTCTGAGCTCCTCACCCTATATCTAAGGGTGAGCCCAGCCACCCTGCATAGAAAACTCATTTTGGCCACTTATATTTGTGATCTCGTCCTTTCGGTCACTACTCATAGCTCATGAGCATAGTTGAGGGTTGTGACATAGTAGATTGACAGATAAATTGAGAACTTTGCTTGTGTGTTCAGCTCCTTCTTCACCATGACAGACTAGTATAATGCCCACGTCACCGCAGATGCTGCACCTATCCGCCTGTCAGTCCCCCGCTCCATCCTACCCTCAGTTGTGAACAAGACCTCAAGATACTTGAACTCCTCCACTAAGGGTAACAAATTATCACCCACAAAAAGGGGACAATCCATTTTTTTTCCAGCAGAGAAGCATGACCTTAGATTTGGAGGTGCTGATTCTCATTCTGACAGCTTCATACTCAGCTCCTAACCGCTTCAGTGGATGTCAAAGGTCACAAGATGAAGCTAACAGGACCACATCTGCAAACATCAGAGATACAACCCTGAGGCCACCAAACTGGACACCTTCCAAGCCTCAGCTGCACTTTGATAACCTGTCCATGAAAATCATGAACAAAATGCGTGACAAGGCACACCCATGGTGGAGTCCAACACCAACTAGTAACAAGTCTGATTTAGTGCTAAGAATGTGGACACAACTCCGGCTTCAGTTGTACTGGGAGAGCATGGCTCAAACTAATATCCTCATAGCCCCATATTCTTCCAGTACTACCCACAGGATACCTTGTGGGATGCGGTCATAAGCCTTCTCCAAGTCCACAAAACTCTGTTCACTGTTCCACCGTTAGAATTGAACTCGCATTGCTCCTCCTGATTCTGAGGTTTGACAATCGAATGAAGTCTCCTTTCCTGCACCCTGGTGTAAGCATTCCCAGGGGGGCTAAGCTGTGCGATCCCCTATAGTTTGATTACACCTTCCAGTCCCCTTTTTTATAAATGGGAATTACTGTCCCAGTCTGCCGGTCTAAGAGCACTGTCCCTGACATCCACGCGATATTAAACAGGCGTGTCAGCCATGACAGCCTAACAACATCCAGTCTTCAGCATCTCAGAGTGAATCTTGTCCACCCCCAGCGACTTACCACAGCAGAACTTTGTGACCATCTCAGTGACTTCCTCCTGGGAAACAGGCAAAGACTCATTTGAGTCCTCTATCCCTACCTCTTCAGTTGATTCTGTCAGATTCAAGTGTCCCTCAAAGTGCTCTTTCCACTGCCAAACAAGATCCCCAGTCGATGTCAGCAGTTTCCCACCCCGGCTGAAAAAAGCCTGAGCAAAGCACTGACTCCATTTCCTGCATTGTCTGATGGTTTGCCAGAACCTCTTTGAGGCTGCCAAAAACTCCTTCAACATTACCTCCCCGGACTCTTCCCAAACATAAGTTTTTGCTTCTGTGATTATCGCGGCTGCCATCCTTCAAGCCTGCTGAGACCTTTCTGCTGAGTCAGGACTCTTATAGGCCAACCAGGCCCGAAAGACCACCTTCTTGAGTTTGACAACCTCCCAAACCACTGGTGTTGACCAACGGGCCTTGGTTTGCCACCATGACTGGCGCGACAACCTTCAGGCTACAACTCAAGGCAGCCGCTTTCATAATGGAGCCTTTGAGCAGGGTTCTCTCAGACTCCATATCTCCTAGCTCCCCCAGGACATGGGAAAAGCTCTTCCAGAAGTGTGCGCTGAAAATTATCCAGACAGGGTCCTCCACCAAATGTTCCCAGTCAACCCTCACAACATGTTTATGTTTACGAAAACTGTCAGGAAGTCTTCCCTGTCATCTGATCCAGCTCACCACCAGGTTATGATCAGTTGACAGCTCTGTCTCCTCCTTCATCCAAATGTCCAAGACATACACCTGCAGATCTGATGGCGCGATTACATAATTGACCATTGACTTTTGGCTAAGGGTGTTCTGGTACTAGGTCCACTTTTGAACACGCTTATGCTCGAGCATGGTGTTTGTTATGACTCATCCATGGTGAGCACAGAAATCGAATAACAAAACACCAATTGGGTTCAGATCACGGAGGCCATTCCTCCCAATCACTTCATCTCCACTATTGCCAACATGAGTGTTGAAGTCCCCCAGTAAAACTATAGAATCCCAAGTTGGAGCACTTTCGAGGGCCCAGCTCAGGGACTCCAAGAAGGCTGGATACTCAAAACTACTGTTAGGTGCGTAAGCACAAACAACAGTCAAAGCATTCCCCTCAGCAGTTCACCGGAGTGAACACAAACCCAGCAGCGTTCAACCTTGGAGATATAAGTATCCCCATGCCGCCCGCTCCTCCCCTTGGTCAACTCCAGATAAAGAGAGAGTCCAACCCCCATCAGGGAATTTAGTTCCAAAACCAGAGCTGTACATAGAGGTTGGTTCAACTATATCTTGCTGGTGTTGCCGCATCTCCCGCCTTTCCTCGCCAGTGAGGTAACTTTCTTCTTATGTCCCAATGCCAGTTTCCATAACTGGGCCCCAGAACACTAAGGTCTTCTCCTTTGTCTGCCACCTGGTCTATACTGCGCCCGACCTTTGTTCCTCTCCTTACGGGTGGTGGGCCCATGAGGATGCAGTTCTGCGTCGCCTTTTTAGGCTAAGCCCGATCAGGGCCCGAGAAAAACCTGGCCACTGGACACTTGCCTACGAGCTCCCCTCCCAAGCTTAGCTCCAGGAGGGGCCTCCATTGTCGCTATTCCAGGCGAGGTTTTCTTATTTTGGACGTTCCTCTCCATAGGGCTGTGCTGAATTGCATTTTGTCTGGCCCCTCACTTGGGACCAATTTCCCATGGAAAACTCCACCAGGAGCCAATGCTCCAGGCATCATTGCTCCCAAAGGCATGCAAACTCCCTAACTCCTCCACCACAATAGCGATTCTCACTCCTCCACCACAATAGGGATTCTCAGAGGAGTGTGTCTATATATATATAGATATATAAAAGTGCCAAAAATGGCACTTTTTTGATGTCCATGTAAAAAGTGAAATAGTTCACTTTCTGTTTTTTTTATATTTAAGTGTGTTCTATTTTATTTATTTTTTTTCTGTGCATAATAGACGTGTAGGCTATTTCTGACAGTCGGCATACGTCCCTAGCGTCTTTTTGTGTATTGCGGTGACATTTAATAAATTGTCCACAAGGTACTGGTTTCTGACTTAGATTTTACATTTAGCACTCTAGAAAAATAAAAAAAGGTCCCTACACCCTAATAATCCTTCTGGATGAAGCAAATATATGGTGCATTTGGGTAAAAAAAAAACTCCAACCTACAGGGATTGAGTGGGATTTTTGTGTCCCCAAAAAAATTGACCTTTTTAAGAAAAGTTTCTGACTTAGATAAATTTTTAAAAAACTGTAAAAGATATAGCCAAATGCAATTCAGGTATTGTTGTTGGCCTAAATCAAAGTGGAAATCACTGTTTAGATCAATTATTTATTGCATAACGACATAGCTACAGCGTGCAAAGCATTTTGGTCGGTTTCTGACTTAGGGTTTCTGCCTTATATTTCTAAGTCAGAAACCCGGGCATCTCAGGCAGAAACCGGGCGTATTCGGCCAAATGTAGCCCCAGTCGTTACACAGGTGGTCAGGGACTTGATATTCCACGTTGGTTTGAAATGTTAACATGTATTTTAGCCGATTTGATCGAAAATACAACCCCAATTCCAAAATAGTTGGGACGAAGTGTAAATTGTGAATAAAATCAAAACGCAACGACTTTCAAATCACACCAGCCAGTATTTTATTCACAATAAAACAGAGATAACATAGCAAATGTTGAAACTGATAAATTTTACAATTTTATCCACAAAATGAGCTCATTTTGTGCATAAAAATGTAAAATGTCTCAGTTTCAACTTTTGAAATGTTATCCATGTTCTATTGTGAATAACATATTAGCTCGTGATCTAAAAGTCATTGCATTTTGATTTTATTCACAATTTACACTTCGTCCCAACTATTTCGAATTGGGGTTGTATAACGATGGCATCGGTCGGAGGCCCGACATCGGACTGATCGGCCCACGCTCTCAGTCAAATACCGGGATCTCAGGCAGAAACTGATGCGGGGCGTGAGCGGCCGCAATCGGTGGCCAATCAGTTATAAACTTGGTCAAATAACATGCATGGGTGGTCGGGGACATGATATATTGTGTTTTCTAAACGTGTCGACTTGTATTTTTGAAGATTTAATCGAAAAATATCGGTGGCATAGGCCCACGCTCTCAGTCAGAAACCGGTATCTCAGGCAGAAACTGATGTGGGGCGTGGCGGCCGCTGTGGCCGCAATCGGTGGCCAATCAGTCATAAACTTGTTCAAATAACATGCATAGATGGTCGGGGACACCAGACAAC